TGAGATCTTGGATAAAATATTTACCCTTTGAGTTTCACTTCTTACAACTTTATAATAGAGATAACACAAACTATAGGGTTCTGAGAAGATTAAATGCAACTGTGAATGTGAAATTACCTAGCAAAGTACAACAAACATAAAAAGTAATACATATTTTGTTCATGCTTTTATTTATTATTCAGCTGTTATGTGATTTTGATGATGGCTGTTGCTTTTCTACACCATGGCCTACCCCTGAACATCTTCAGAATCAGGATTTTTCATGCTTTCAATCACCTTTAGTGGATTCTAAAATGATTTTTAAGAAATTAAAAATAGAACCATGCTATGTTACTTATTGAAGAGACCAGAAATAAAACTAAGTTTTAGCCATCCTTGATAATAAGGCAAGGATAGTATGAAAAATAAAAATCTGCATTTCATTTTCTTCCTAATTTCAACTCGTTGCTTATGAAACTTTTGGTAAGATCGAGCACTGAGGGGTTAACATTGATGGAGTTTGTTCCATTTCTTTTATTTTCATTATCAATCATAAAATCACAATGTAGGAATATACATTTAACATAATAGGTAGTGCAAAATGAATAAAGGGAGTAAAGAAGGATTTCTGAACATTTAGTATTTTGAGAACATGACTAATGCTATTTTGCTCATCCTGCATGCACACACACTTGCACATATACTCAAAAAACTGCCCACAAAACTCAGAAAAGCTGAGGAGTCCAGGAGAGGAATCTGTGGAGTAGAAAGGCTCAGAAGGCTGAAGGCAGGTACTACTCTGTGTAAAAGGCAGCCACGATCATGTGAGAAAGTTATATGATATGAACTCTTACCTTGGACTGAGGTCTGGGGGTCCAGCATTATTCAAAGTTGAAAGCTGCAATTTCAAGTTCTTCTCTTTCCTTTTATTATGGTTGGGGGGGTCAATTTCCTGCTTGGTTTTGGGGGAATTTGACCTGGAGACTCTGATAGGTGAGTGAAAGGGCACCGTTCCCGAGGCCAGTTGCTTTAAGCTTAAGCCCAGGTAGGTTTTACTGCTTCCAACCTTCTTGTTGCGTGAAGAAGATCCCCTTGTGCAGATGGGAGAGAGAGAGGGTGTCTCCTCTTCCTCCCCCTCCTCCTCCTCTTCCTCATCTTCCACAATAGATGGGAGTCGCTTGTTGATGCTGCCGTTTCCCTTGGGCTCTGACTAAATTAGTGGATAATATGAATTAGGACAGACTACAAAGACCACAGAAGAGGTATCTCATTAATGCTGGAGGTCTCATTTGAACAAAGTCAAATCTCTTAGAGACTCTTTTCATTAAAACTGAAGTCTTTGCAGATTTTGTTATTATTTTATCAGGTGCTAAAGGTCTTCCCACTTCTGCTCTTCTCCAAGTTTACCCTCTATGCTTTCTTGATGTTAGCCCCTGATTTTAACCCTCCTCTTGGTCTTTTAAACTGTCTTCATGGGGAGCCACGTGAAAGGTGCATTATACCAGGTTTGCAACTGGGTTTTAATTCAACCTGTCATTTGTAATAGTATATGATGGCATGCTCTTAGAAATAAAGACATTTTCCATTTTAATGGAGGGTCTTAGGCCTTGTTATTTAAAATTACAGGATCTTTACTGGAACTTTACATGGAGATTAATCAGCAAAATTGCATTATTCTTGAGAATAAAAAAAGCTTTCCTATTTTGGATCACATGAATGGAAGACGATCAGAAGTATTCTCAGCTACTCTGCTTCCTGCTCTCCTTGTTCTTTCCAGTCACTAGCAAGAAAAGAAGCAAACCACCTGGTCTGCTTCCTTTGAAGAGCCTTGGAAAAGGAAGGAAAAATAGTCTTGCTAAAACCCATCCTATAACTACTGGACTCTTGACTGGGATCATTCAACTTTGTAGACTAAGAAGAGGAAAGAAAGAGTGTGGGAAAAGACAATTGAGGTGGTGATGGAAGGGCCAGGGCAGTAAACACAG